TTTCTTGCGTTCATGACGTAGCGCTTCATGTACGCATTTTGCGCAGTCACACACGAATGCACAGCGATCCGTGCACAGAGAGCGGTTTGTGTTTCCAGGTTCAGAGGATTTAAACGGAAAACAAATATGTGAGGATCAAAAATACATATGTAAAACTTTTTTCTGTATTTGGATTTTATTTACATGAATATGAAACGGAACACATTTGTGTGCATTGAAAAACACAAGTGTGGATCCTTCTGTGTGCATGTGTGTATTATGAGACTGTTCTGAGCCCATACCCGTGAGCGGGAGCGCGCTCCTTCACTACAGACTATCGCGCCACCTAACCATTCGCCAAAATGTTTTTAATACCAGCGGTAGCCGGCCAAGCGCCGGGCAAAAAACAATCTTCAAATAAAAGAAAGTCACCGGAGGAGTTAAAGGAGAGTGACAGGGAGCATGAGAAGAAGAGGGAGAGAAAGTTTCAGCCAGCTTGATCGATGGAGTTGGCTTCTATAGCGTGGTGCAGTGACGCATCCTAAAACCCTTTTATAATCTATCGATTAGATTTATGATTTGAAAATTATAAAAGTAGGAGACATGTGGAGATTATCCGGCTGAACAAAACGTGCATTTATTTAACAGGTTTGTTTTCCACAGACCTTATTTCCAGCTATTTTCCAAAACCCTGTGGAGAAATCCCATTGCTTTCTGTCGAGGGAACCAGCAGCTTACTTCCTGGTTTTAGGACGCGTCACTGGCTGCACCTCTCAATATGATGCCAGTATAAACAAGGCCTTCTGTCGGCTCTGTACATCAATGCCGACCTATGCTGACCAGTAAGTGAAGAGTAGAAAATATAAAGGTATTGGCTATAGGGAAATGTCCCAGCAGTTTAGGACAAAGAAGGTTCTAATCTGATCTATAGCCATTACATTTCTAACTCCTAATGACAGGAAGGCAGAAAGCGCATTATACAAATAATAATACTCATAATAATAGCAGACATTTTTTAACAATGACCACAATATCATTATTTTAATAAACCAAATATGAACAATTGAGGAAAATGAGGAACAACGGATTGTTCAAATGTTGTAGTATGTAGTAATGTAGTGTGTACATAAATTACTACTGCAACAAATGTGTTAATTTTCTTCATTATTAGTCGATTTTGTTTTGGACGAATGCTCCGGGCCAGAGGTTACAATGGTGGGGCCAGTGACAATACAAGTCCATTCTACCCTTAATGTCTACCTCTGCGGCAAGTCACTAGCACCCCCCCCCCCCCCCATGTCGACAATTTACTAGCGGTATTTACTTGCGGTACCGCGGTGGGCCGGCGGTACCGAAGTGGGCCGGTCGAGAGTCCCGGGCTGATTTGTAGTCCCAGTCCGCCCCTGATCTTAACCCTCTCCAGCCTCAGCCCTTTGTTCATATGGTTGGTGTCCTGCTCTGCTTCAGTTAGAATGCTTGTAAAGCCTCAGCCCTGCACTCATGTTATAAACATCTTTCCTTTGAAGACAAACTAAGCTGTCAGGATGTTTCTGCTGCAGGGATGTGACATTAATGTATACATAATAACAACAACAACAACAACATGTGACCATGTACTAGCCTCAGAAAGGCTAAACAACAACAAACTACAACAAGTGTAGTTCACTGACTGGCAGAGCACTGATGATCTTTAGATTAAAATAACAAGAACAACCCTACACTGCATGATTCACTCTGAACCTCTGAACACCTGAGATTCATCTTATATTCTCCATCCTGCTTTTAGAAAATGAATTATAAAAAAATACATGAGTAGAATTGTTTTATATTTCTGTTAAAACTATCAACCACCAAGAAGTATTTTCAGTTGTTGCTGTTTCCAACGTGTTCCTGGATCTACATGATGCTGACACTGACTGAATAGTTTACACTGAAGTAGCTGCACGTTGTCTTTAATGTGAATGAGAGCTCTTTTCCTCTTTCTGTGTCTCACAGTTTTTAACCTGTTGGAGTTTCCACTTTCTGAACTCCTTCAGCTCTGATCAGATTATTAAACCTGGAGTTATTTCAAACAGGAACATTGTTTTCTAAAGTTACATCATGTTCTCTTTATTCAGACTGAGGGGCTGCAGGTTATCAGAGATCAGCTGTTCTGCTCTGATCTCTGCTCTGAAGTCCAACCTCCACCTGAGACATCTGAACCTGAGTTACAACGATCTGAAGGATTCAGGAGTGGAGCTGCTGAGAGATCATCTGGAGAGTCCAGACTGCAGACTGGAGACTCTCGGGTCAGTTCTCCATCTGTAACTTCTGTGCTGAGATGAAGAGAGTTGTGTTGACTCTGAGCTGCAGACATCAGGCTGATATCACTCTGATCCTCACTGAGCATCTTAACCCTCTACAGCAGGGGTAGGCAAGTAAGTTTGGCCGTGGGCCAATTTTTGCTGAGCCGCAAGATGGCGGGCCAGAACATAATCAAAGCCTAATTCAAGGAATTGATTTTGGTAAGAGGGCGCAGCGCCCCGGTTCGCCCAATCCAGAGCCTTTGGCTAGACCCGCCCAGGCTCGTCCTCTCTAGCCCCATTTCAGTCCCAAAGCCAGGGCTATTATCTGTATTTTAACAGACTTATCTTTTAAATTGAGGTGTATTTATTGTTCTCTTCAAAGTTTATTTTTCTCTGAAATTGTAGGGAGGATGGTCCTCCCTTTCCTCAATGGACGAGCCTCCACTGAGTAAAGTAGAGTTATTAACAGGTAGCAGTGTTATTTAACATACTTTTATTCTGATAAGTAGCCTATTGTCAAGTTCTCTGGGTTTTTGGCATTTATTTGAGTGTTTGCACATTTGAGAGGCTTGAGGGGCAACAGAGGACGCATGGACAACTGGAATCCTTTTTCCTTTTCTTTATTTCAACTTTTCAAGGACACATTAGGATTCTTTCAGGTTGAAAACCTTTAAAAAATATCAAAGGACAAAATAAATCAATTACAGCAGTTTTGCTTTGCAATTTAATATATTATAACCTAAATTAATCAGTAACCAAGTATTTTACTCACACTCAATGTATTTAATAGTTAAATAAGTACTTTAATTGACCTGGTTCCCCACAACCACACATTTGCCATATGTGACCCGCTCTATCGAAATCAGTCGAAAGTCGCAACGGCTCATTTCAAAATAAACGTGGATTTGCGTAAAAAAATAGTTTTTCGGGATCGGGTGTTTTATTTGATTTTAAATAAACAAAGTCTTGGCTTTCAGAATATGGAACTTTTATTTCCAAAATCACACGATAAATACATGTTTGAAGCTCGTAAAGGGAAGATGACAGCTCTCCCTCGCCACTCTGCTCTTCCACAGCGCCGCCTCCCTCCCTCCGCTGACATTATGAATGTAAACGGATATTTCGGGACAGAATTTATTTTACCGGACAAATTTGAAACTCACCGGTCATGTTTCAATAATAATAATAAGAATTGTGTAGCAGAGTTTCCGTTAGCAGGTAATCACCGGACTATGACCGAATATGCTGATGTTTAAAACTCAGTTAATGGGGCTCATTTTTATATTGCTTCAGTTTATAATCGTTACAGATCAAAACATTCAGATTCATTTTTCAATAAATGATTCCACAAACAACAAACAACATAAGTATTACATTCAAACAAACTACTTGTAGTAGATGAAGTACATTATTCAAAAGTTTAAATTAACTTTGAATAATAGCACGGGAGAAACGGATGCTCTCTTTTCCTCTCTCCCTCTCTCTCTGACAGCCCGTTAGTTTCTCATGCAGCTCGCTAAACAGTGGGCGGGGCTTCAGGTGATTATGCAGAGCTGCGTGTCTCCGTCAGACTCAGCAGCTGATCTGATCTCTCTCTCGCGTCCGGTTATATTTCACTCGCGTTTATGTCCATATCGATCAGATCCAGCTCTCCTGATCGGGCTTTATAGAGAGCACCGATCAAATTATTAAGAGTGAATATCGGCCGATAATGACCGGCGGCCGATCGATCTGCCGCTAATGGAAACCCTGATGTGCGACTGTCGGTCCTATGTTGTAAAAAAAAAAAAAAACATCTCAAAATAATATTTTATTTTTGATTCTCAAAATTAGGGGCCAAATATTATTGCTGGCGGGCCAACAATGGCCCGCGGGCCACCTGTTGCCGACCCATGCTCTACAGCAGGCATCCTCAAACTACGGACTCCGGTCCGGATCCGGACCGAACCACCACTGTCTCCGGACTCTGAGCAAATTATACTTTTCATATGTATTATCTCTCTGTATTATATGTGAGACATCGCCACAACGCATTCGCAACGAGTCAAAATTCTCCGCTATGTCCACTGCAAACAGCACTCTGCATGTCTGACTGTTCCACTGTGTTCCACCTGTGTGTGTCAACGCTTTGGTCCAATCACATTCAGCATCCAGTCAGCGTTTCCCCCCCAAACAATCTGCGAATCAGAGGCACAGTAGGGCGGGTCTTCGCGGACTGCGGGTGGGAAAAATGTGTGTGTGTCTTTCAACCTGTCTAAGTCAGAGCGAGAATTAAAAAAAAAAAATTCAGAGCGAGAGTTAACAGCTCATCTAGTTCCATCTGTACTGTAGCTAGTAGCCTAGTTTCACCTACCGGGGTGGCAACTGACACCCTACAAATAGGCCTTGCCACCCCAGCTGCCACCCCAGTTGGCAGCTTTGTTTTGAAAGAAAAGTTGTGGCTCATCGGACATTTATGAGAGAAAGTCTCTAATGTCCGAGTGCAAGTGAATGCAGCACAAGATGCACGTCATGTAACCCCTCCCCCGGTCCTGGCGCGAGCGTGGACATACGATTGGGGGGCGATTTCATTTTGAACTGGACGGCGCAAAACGAGAAGCATTCGGACCCAAGCACTGAAGGAATGAGGTGTTTGCGGTCTGACAGAGAAGAGACTGTCAGTGTGGCTGTACTCAGCAGTGAATCAAAACGCACTAAAGCTGTTGATCTTAATACGTTTGTGAGGCGTTTCGCTGAACAAAATGGTAATCGCCGCATTCAGCTGTAATAGACATGTCAACTTGATGCTCTGCTCACGGATGAGCATACACAACTATTAAGATGATGACCTTACGTGTGTAAATATATTTTTTTCTTTGAGGGGGTCTGCCCCAAAAAACTGTTTTAAGTCCTGAGAAAGTCAAATAAGACGGTGTGTAAAACTACACTGCCCAGCCAAAAAAAAGTAACCACTTTGATTGAACTAGGCCAGTAGGTAAGGACTTTCCACTGGATAATAACTGCAGTATAAAAGAATGCATGACTGAAGTGATGGAGACCATGTTGAAGGCAAACACAAAGAGGAAATAACAGGTCAAATCAAGCAAATCCCCCTCTCAGATTCCACAGCAACCAGAAGAACATAAATACTGGCTGGTGATTTGATTCATCAGCTTTGTGATGGAATGAAAAATGCACAGTGCATTTCCTTAGCTGTGGGTGAGTCCACTGACACCACTGACAATGCTCAGTTGCTGGTGTTTGTGAGTTGTTATGATGAGGCAAAGGCGGAGTTTGTTGAAGATGTGTTGGGCCTGACGAACCTCAGTGGACACACAAGGGGGCAAGACATTTATAAAGCAATAATGGGAATGCTGAATGAAAGAGGGTGCAGCTGCCTTTATTCATAACTGTGCAGCTCTTACACTGCGACTCTGAGGGTCAAGCACAGACACAATAACAATGAAAACGGCTGCATACAGATTATTTTTGTTTTTGCAACCTCGTGTTAAGAATCTTGTTGCAATTGTTTAAAAGTTTGAATGACCGTAATAAACGGACCTTTGTCTTATTGAAACATTTATTTTGGACCTTTAAGATTTGTATTTGAGTACCCCTGCCCTACAGTCTCAGCCCTTTGTTCATATGGTTGGTGTCCTGCTCTGCTTCAGTTAGAATGCTTGTAAAGCCTCAGCCCTGCACTCATGTTATAAACATCTTTCCTTTGAAGACAAACTAAGCTGTCAGGATGTTTCTGCTGCAGGGATGTGACATTAATGTATAACTAATAACAACAACAACAACACCATGTGACCATGTAATAGCCTCAGAAAGGCTAAACAACAACAAACTACAACAAGTGTAGTTCACTGACTGGCAGAGCACTGATGATCTTTAGATTAAAATAACAAGAACAACCCTACACTGCATGATTCACTCTGAACCTCTGAACACCTGAGATTCATCTTATATTCTCCATCCTGCTTTTAGAAAATGAATTATAAAAAAATACATGAGTAGAATTGTTTTATATTTCTGTTAAAACTATCAACCACCAAGAAGTATTTTCAGTTGTTGCTGTTTCCAACGTGTTCCTGGATCTACATGATGCTGACACTGACTGAATAGTTTACACTGAAGTAGCTGCACGTTGTCTTTAATGTGAATGAGAGCTCTTTTCCTCTTTCTGTGTCTCACAGTTTTTAACCTGTTGGAGTTTCCACTTTCTGAACTTCTTCAGCTCTGATCAGATTATTAAACCTGGAGTTATTTCAAACAGGAACATTGTTTTCTAAAGTTACATCATGTTCTCTTTATTCAGACTGGAGCACTGCAGTTTGTCAGAGATCAGCTGTTCTGCTCTGATCTCTGCTCTGAAGTCCAACCTCCACCTGAGAGATCTGGACCTGAGTGACAACGCTCTGCAGGATTTCAGGAGTGGAGCTGCTGAGAGATCTTCTGGAGAGTCCAGACTGCAGACTGGAGACTCTCAGGTCAGTTCTCCATCTGTAGCTTCTGTGCTGAGATGAAGAGAGTTGTGTTGACTCTGAGCTGCAGACATCAGGCTGATATCACTCTGATCCTCACTGAGCATCTTAACCCTCTCCAGCCTCAGCCCTTTGTTCATATGGTTGGTGTCCTGCTCTGCTTCAGTTAGAATGCTTGTAAAGCCTCAGCCCTGCACTCATGTTATAAACATCTTTCCTTTGAAGACAAACTAAGCTGTCAGGATGTTTCTGCTGCAGGGATGTGACATTAATGTGTACATAATAACAACAACAACAACAACAACAACAACAACAACAACAACAACAACATGTGACCATGTACTAGCCTCAGAAAGGCTAAACAACAACAACAACAACATGTGACCATGTACTAGCCTCAGAAAGGCTAAACAACAACAAACTACAACAAGTGTAGTTCACTGACTGGCAGAGCACTGATGATCTTTAGATTAAAATATCAAGAACAACCCTACACTGCATGATTCACTCTGAACCTCTGAACACCTGAGATTCATCTTATATTCTCCATCCTGCTTTTAGAAAATGAATTATAAAGAAAATACATGAGTAGAATTGTTTTATATTTCTGTTAAAACTATCAACCACCAAGAAGTATTTTCAGTTGTTGCTGTTTCCAACGTGTTCCTGGATCTACATGATGCTGACACTGACTGAATAGTTTACACTGAAGTAGCTGCACGTTGTCTTTAATGTGAATGAGAGCTCTTTTCCTCTTTCTGTGTCTCACAGTTTTTAACCTGTTGGAGTTTCCACTTTCTGAACTCCTTCAGCTCTGATCAGATTATTAAACCTGGAGTTATTTCAAGCAGGAACATTGTTTTCTAAAGTTACATCATGTTCTCTTTATTCAGACTGAGGGGCTGCAGGTTATCAGAGATCAGCTGTTCTGCTCTGATCTCTGCTCTGAAGTCCAACCCCTCCCACCTGAGACATCTGAACCTGAGTTACAACGATCTGAAGGATTCAGGAGTGGAGCTGCTGAGAGATCTTCTGGAGAGTCCAGACTGCAGACTGGAGACTCTCAGGTCAGTTCTCCATCTGTAACTTCTGTGCTGAGATGAAGAGAGTTGTGTTGACTCTGAGCTGCAGACATCAGGCTGATATCACTCTGATCCTCACTGAGCATCTTAACCCTCTACAGCAGGGGTAGGCAAGTAAGTTTGGCCGTGGGCCAATTTTTTGCTGAGCCGCAAGATGGCGGGCCAGAACATAATCAAAGCCTAATTCAAGGAATTGATTTTGGTAAGAGGGCGCAGCGCCCCGGTTCGCCCAATCCAGAGCCTTTGGCTAGACCCGCCCAGGCTCGTCCTCTCTAGCCCCATTTCAGTCCCAAAGCCAGGGCTATTATCTGTATTTTAACAGACTTATCTTTTAAATTGAGGTGTATTTATTGTTCTCTTCAAAGTTTATTTTTCTCTGAAATTGTAGGGAGGATGGTCCTCCCTTTCCTCAATGGACGAGCCTCCACTGAGTAAAGTAGAGTTATTAACAGGTAGCAGTGTTATTTAACATACTTTTATTCTGATAAGTAGCCTATTGTCAAGTTCTCTGGGTTTTTGGCATTTATTTGAGTGTTTGCACATTTGAGAGGCTTGAGGGGCAACAGAGGACGCATGGACAACTGGAATCCTTTTTCCTTTTCTTTATTTCAACTTTTCAAGGACACATTAGGATTCTTTCAGGTTGAAAACCTTTAAAAAATATCAAAGGACAAAATAAATCAATTACAGCAGTTTTGCTTTGCAATTTAATATATTATAACCTAAATTAATCAGTAACCAAGTATTTTACTCACACTCAATGTATTTAATAGTTAAATAAGTACTTTAATTGACCTGGTTCCCCACAACCACACATTTGCCATATGTGACCCGCTCTATCGAAATCAGTCGAAAGTCGCAACGGCTCATTTCAAAATAAACGTGGATTTGCGTAAAAAAATAGTTTTTCGGGATCGGGTGTTTTATTTGATTTTAAATAAACAAAGTCTTGGCTTTCAGAATATGGAACTTTTATTTCCAAAATCACACGATAAATACATGTTTGAAGCTCGTAAAGGGAAGATGACAGCTCTCCCTCGCCACTCTGCTCTTCCACAGCGCCGCCTCCCTCCCTCCGCTGACATTATGAATGTAAACGGATATTTCGGGACAGAATTTATTTTACCGGACAAATTTGAAACTCACCGGTCATGTTTCAATAATAATAATAAGAATTGTGTAGCAGAGTTTCCGTTAGCAGGTAATCACCGGACTATGACCGGATATGCTGATGTTTAAAACTCAGTTAATGGGGCTCATTTTTATATTGCTTCAGTTTATAATCGTTACAGATCAAAACATTCAGATTCATTTTTCAATAAATGATTCCACAAACAACAAACAACATAAGTATTACATTCAAACAAACTACTTGTAGTAGATGAAGTACATTATTCAAAAGTTTAAATTAACTTTGAATAATAGCACGGGAGAAACGGATGCTCTCTTTTCCTCTCTCCCTCCCTCTCTCTCTGACAGCCCGTTAGTTTCTCATGCAGCTCGCTAAACAGAGGGCGGGGCTTCAGGTGATCATGCAGAGCTGCGTGTCTCCGTCAGACTCAGCAGCTGATCTGATCTCTCTCTCGCGTCCGGTTATATTTCACTCGCGTTTATGTCCATATCGATCAGATCCAGCTCTCCTGATCGGGCTTTATAGAGAGCACCGATCAAATTATTAAGAGTGAATATCGGCCGATAATGACCGGCGGCCGATCGATCTGCCGCTAATGGAAACCCTGATGTGCGACTGTCGGTCCTATGTTGTAAAAAAAAAAAAAACATCTCAAAATAATATTTTATTTTTGATTCTCAAAATTAGGGGCCAAATATTATTGCTGGCGGGCCAACAATGGCCCGCGGGCCACCTGTTGCCGACCCATGCTCTACAGCAGGCATCCTCAAACTACGGACTCCGGTCCGGATCCGGACCGAACCACCACTGTCTCCGGACTCTGAGCAAATTATACTTTTCATATGTATTATCTCTCTGTATTATATGTGAGACATCGCCACAACGCATTCGCAACGAGTCAAAATTCTCCGCTATGTCCACTGCAAACAGCGCTCTGCATGTCTGACTGTTCCACTGTGTTCCACCTGTGTGTGTCAACGCTTTGGTCCAATCACATTCAGCATCCAGTCAGCGTTTCCCCCCCAAACAATCTGCGAATCAGAGGCACAGTAGGGCGGGTCTTCGCGGACTGCGGGTGGGAAAAATGTGTGTGTCTCTTTCAACCTGTCTAAGTCAGAGCGAGAATTAAAAAAAATAAATTCAGAGCGAGAGTTAACAGCTCATCTAGTTCCATCTGTACTGTAGCTAGTAGCCTAGTTTCACCTACCGGGGTGGCAACTGACACCCTACAAATAGGCCTTGCCACCCCAGTTGGCAGCTTTGTTTTGAAAGAAAAGTTGTGGCTCATCGGACATTTATGAGAGAAAGTCTCTAATGTCCGAGTGCAAATGAATGCAGCACAAGATGCACGTCATGTAACCCCTCCCCCGGTCCTGGCGCGAGCGTGGACATACGATTGGCGGCGATTTCATTTTGAACTGGACGGCGCAAAACGAGAAGCATTCTGACCCAAGCGCTGAAGGAATGAGGTGTTTGCGGTCTGACAGAGAAGAGACTGTCAGTTTGGCTGTACTCAGCAGTGAATCAAAACGCACTGAAGCTGTTGATCTTAATACGTTTGTGAGGCGTTTTGCTGAACAAAATGGTAATCGCCGCATTCAGCTGTAATAGACATGTCAACTTGATGCTCTGCTCACGGATGAGCATACACAACTATTAAGATGATGACCTTACGTGTGTAAATATATTGTTTTCTTTGAGGGGGTCTGCCCCAAAAAACAGTTTTAAGTCCTGAGAAAGTCAAATCAGACGGTGTGTAAAACTACACTGCCCAGCCAAAACAAAGTAACCACTTTGATTGAACTAGGCCAGCAGGTAAGGACTTTCCACTGGATAATAACTGAGTATAAAAGAATGCATGACTGAAGTGATGGAGACCATGTTGAAGGCAAACACAAAGAGGAAATAACAGGTAAAATCAAGCAAATCCCCTCTCAGATTCCACAGCAACCAGAAGAACATAAATACTGGCTGGTGATTTGATTCATCAGCTTTGTGATGGAATAAAAAATGCACAGTGCATTTCCTTAGCTGTGGGTGAGTCCACTGACACCACTGACAATGCTCAGTTGCTGGTGTTTGTGAGTTGTTATGATGAGGCAAAGGCGGAGTTTGTTGAAGATGTGTTGGGCCTGACGAACCTCAGTGGACACACAAGGGGGAATACATTTATAAAGCAATAATGGGAATGCTGAATGAAAGAGGGTGCAGCTGCCTTTATTCATAACTGTGCAGCTCTTACACTGCGACTCTGAGGGGTCAAGCACAGACACAATAACAATGAAAACGGCTGCATACAGATTATTTTTGTTTTTGCAACCTCGTGTTAAGAATCTTGTTGCAATTGTTTAAAAGTTTGAATGACCGTAATAAACGGACCTTTGTCTTATTGAAACATTTATTTTGGACCTTTAAGATTTGTATTTGAGTACCCCTGCTCTACAGTCTCAGCCCTTTGTTCATATGGTTGGTGTCCTGCTCTGCTTCAGTTAGAATGCTTGTAAAGCCTCAGCCCTGCACTCATGTTATAAACATCTTTCCTTTGAAGACAAACTAAGCTGTCAGGATGTTTCTGCTGCAGGGATGTGACATTAATGTATAACTAATAACAACAACAACAACATGTGACCATGTACTAGCCTCAGAAAGGCTAAACAACAACAAACTACAACAAGTGTAGTTCACTGACTGGCAGAGCACTGATGATCTTTAGATTAAAATAACAAGAACAACCCTACACTGCATGATTCACTCTGAACCTCTGAACACCTGAGATTCATCTTATATTCTCCATCCTGCTTTTAGAAAATGAATTATAAAAAAATACATGAGTAGAATTGTTTTATATTTCTGTTGAAACTATCAACCACCAAGAAGTATTTTCAGTTGTTGCTGTTTCCAACGTGTTCCTGGATCTACATGATGCTGACACTGACTGAATAGTTTACACTGAAGTAGCTGCACGTTGTCTTTAATGTGAATGAGAGCTCTTTTCCTCTTTCTGTGTCTCACAGTTTTTAACCTGTTGGAGTTTCCACTTTCTGAACTTCTTCAGCTCTGATCAGATTATTAAACCTGGAGTTATTTCAAGCAGGAACATTGTTTTCTAAAGTTACATCATGTTCTCTTTATTCAGACTGGAGCTCTGCAGTTTGTCAGAGATCAGCTGTTCTGCTCTGATCTCTGCTCTGAAGTCCAACCTCCACCTGAGAGATCTGGACCTGAGTTACAACGATCTGAAGGATTCAGGAGTGAAGCTGAGAGATCTTCTGGAGAGTCCAGACTGCAGACTGGAGACTCTCAGGTCAGTTCTCCATCTGTAACTTCTGTGCTGAGATGAAGAGAGTTGTGTTGACTCTGAGCTGCAGACATCAGGCTGATATCACTCTGATCCTCACTACAGCAGGGGTGGGGAACCTTTTTCCTCTCAAGGGCCATTTCAATTTGTTCAACATCCTCCGAGGGCCGTACAAATTATTGACCTCTGCTTAAAAATACTAAAATCACAAATTCATTTGGCCTTTCTTTCATGCAGTGCAAAGAAAAAACAACCTCTTAATCTATATATTTTACCATGACTCGCGCATGCACGTGCACGGTGTGGCATGACCACCACAACAGAAATATATGGACACAAGATGTGTGCAAAAGTATTTAGTTTCCTATTCATGTGAACATGATTTAAGGGGGGGGGGCCTAACCTCCTCTAGGGGGCATGCTCCCCCGGGAAGATTTTTTTTTAAATGTTAAGGTTGAAAGCATCAATCTGGTGCACTTTGAGAGCAACATGAGGAGATCTATGGAAACATCTCTCAACACCCAGATGAAACAGAACTGTAAGCAGATTTATTTTTCTTTATGGATATTTTACAAATCACTCTCCTTTCAAACTGTATTCTTGTTTATTAATAATAACTTTTTTTTACTGTCATATAGTATTTTATACCTGTTTACTTTATTCTCTTGTTTTTTTATAACTATAATGATCATATAAAGATGTGCCTTTACCTCACAGGTTGTTCTTATATCCGTTAGCATAGCTAGCTAACCAGATGCTAATAACAACAAAGGTATTGACTGTATGATCAGTGTGACAGATCGCCACTGGGCTTTCAACTAAAGACACAGTAGAAACTGCAGCATGTGTACGGCTCCTTATCGGTTCTGCCGCGTTCTGGTGCTCTCCGTCAGAACTGCACCCCTGTCAGACGAGACATATACCACGTGATGACTTGGAAATGGGGGGACCCTGATGTAAACAAGACGAAAGTCTTTCTCTGGTCTGCATCCCCTTAACAATTGTATGTTTTGAGCTGTACTGTACTGTACCCAATATACAAGCTGTTAATAAACTTTTCAATCAATCAATCAATGACACGTTAGGCTCGTGTTGTGTTCAAGGACCCTAACCTTGGCCAGGAAAAACAGGCACTCGCTTGTTTAATTTTTTTGCGGTCTAGATTTCTCACATTTTTTCTTTTTTGCGTGTGTTTATAAATTACCTCGAGGGCCGTACCAAATTGTCTCGCGTCCCTGATCTCCAGCCTCAGCCCTTTGTTCATATGGTTGGTGTCCTGCTCTGCTTCAGTTAGAATGCTTGTAAAGCCTCAGCCCTGCACTCATGTTATAAACATCTTTCCTTTGAAGACAAACTAAGCTGTCAGGATGTTTCTGCTGCAGGGATGTGACATTAATGTGTACATAACAACAACAACAACAACAACAACAACAACAACAACAACAACAACAACAACAACATGTGACCATGTACTAGCCTCAGAAAGGCTAAACAACAACAAACTACAACAAGTGTAGTTCACTGACTGGCAGAGCACTGATGATCTTTAGATTAAAATAACAAGATCAACCCTACACTGCATGATTCACTCTGAACCTCTGAACACCTGAGATTCATCTTATATTCTCCATCCTGCTTTTAGAAAATGAATTATAAAAAAATACATGAGTAGAATTGTTTTATATTTCTGTTGAAACTATCAACCACCAAGAAGTATTTTCAGTTGTTGCTGTTTCCAACGTGTTCCTGGATCTACATGATGCTGACACTGACTGAATAGTTTACACTGAAGTAGCTGCACGTTGTCTTTAATGTGAATGAGAGCTCTTTTCCTCTTTCTGTGTCTCACAGTTTTTAACCTGTTGGAGTTTCCACTTTCTGAACTTCTTCAGCTCTGATCAGATTATTAAACCTGGAGTTATTTCAAGCAGGAACATTGTTTTCTAAAGTTACATCATGTTCTCTTTATTCAGACTGGAGCTCTGCAGTTTGTCAGAGATCAGCTGTTCTGCTCTGATCTCTGCTCTGAAGTCCAACCCCTCCCATCTGAGAGATCTGGACCTGAGTTACAACGATCTGCAGGATTCAGGAGTGAAGCTGCTGAGAGATCTTCTGGAGAGTCCAGACTGCAGACTGGAGACTCTCAGGTCAGTTCTCCATCTGTAACTTCTGTGCTGCTTTCTCCATTCCTGTTCATGTGTCTTCTCGCAATTATCACTGGCCCCGTGGATCTCGTAATCGATATAACCGGCCTGCTCTCGTCTATCCCACGTGCTCCACTGAGATCCAACATCTAGTTTCAGGTGGCCTGTGGAACTGCCAGTCAGCTGTTCCTAAGGCTGACTTCATCTCTGGCTACGCCTCCCTGCAGTCTCTGGATTTCCTTGCTCTCACTGAGACCTGGATTACTCCATCCAACACATCCACCCCAGCAGCTCTCTCCACTGCATATTCCTTCTCCCATACACCCAGACCCACTGGCAGAGGAGGTGGCACTGGTCTCCTGCTCTCTCCCAAATGGAGCTTTTCCCTCTTCAAGCTACCTAACTTTACTCCTTCCACCTTTGAGTTCCATGCCGTCACAGTAACCCATCCTATACAGTTAACCATTGTTGTTCTCTACCGTCCACCAGGCGCCTTGGGGGACTTCTTGGAGGAATTAGATAATCTCCTCTCACACATCCCTGAAACTGGCCCTCCCGCTGTACTTCTCGGAGACTTCAACCTCCAGATGGGGAAGATAGACGAACTAACATCTCTGTTAACCGCCTTTGCTTTCTCACTCTCTCCGTCCCCACCGACTCATAAAGCTGGCAATGTCCTTGATCTCATATTCTCAAGGAACTGCGCTACTTCTAACCTCTCTGTAAACCCGCTCCACACATCCGATCACTTCTTCATTTCATTCTCTCTATCCCTTTCCAAACATAACAAACTAATCTCTTCCCATCCTACACTTGTCCGCCGTAACCTTCGCTCCCTCTCTCCCTCTACCTTTGCCTCGTCGGTGCTCTCAGCCCTCCCTTCCTCTGATTCGTTCCAACTACTGCCTCCAAACTCTGCTGCAGAAACTCTCCTCTCTACTCTCTCATCCACTCTGGACTCTCTCTGTCCTCTGACATCTCGGCAGGCTCGTCAGTCCCCTCCGGCTCCCTGGCTAAATGATGCACTGCGTGCTAATAGAACCGTCCTTAGGGCAGCAGAGCGGAAATGGTGGAAATCCAAACACCGTGACGACCTCCTAACCTATCAAGCTCTCCTCTCCTCTTTCTCTGCTTCGATCTCTCAGGCAAAAAGCACTTTCTTTCAAGATAAGATCCAATCTTCCTATTCCAATCCTAAAAAACTATTTTCCATCTTCTCCACCCTCTTGGACCCTCCAAAAGCTCCTCCCCCCTCCTCACTTCTGTCAAGCGACTTTGTTACCCACTTTGAAAAAAAGGTTAATGATATTCGCTCTTCTTTTTCTGACTCACCTTTACTCACCGCTGGGTCACCAGACCTTCCTTCCACCAACACACTAACCTCCTTTTCCCCTCTCTCTCCAAGTGAGGTTCTTACCCTCATTACCTCTGCCCGCCCTACCACCTGTCCTCTGGACCCTATCCCTTCAAACCTCCTTCAGACTATCGCTCCTGATATTCTACCGTTTCTCACCCATTTCATCAACACTTCTCTAACTTCTGGTCACTTTCCAAACAGTCTCAAGGAGGCAAGAGTAAACCCTCTCCTAAAGAAACCCACTCTCAACCCGTCTGATGTTATAAACTACAGGCCTGTCTCTCTCCTCCCGTTCCTGTCTAAATCACTTGAACGCGCTGTCTTTAAACAACTCTCCTGTTATCTCAATCAGAACAACCTTCTGGATCCGCACCAGTCTGGTTTCAAGGCAGGTCACTCCACAGAAACTGCTCTCATTGCTGTCACGGAGGAACTGCACACTGCCAAAACTGCATCCCTCTCCTCTGTCATCATCCTGTTGGACCTGTCTGCTGCATTCGACACGGTGAATCATCAGATCCTCCTTCGCACTCTCCAAAAACTTGGAGTTTCAGGCTCTGCACTTTCCCTCCTCACCTCATACCTGAAAGACCGTACCTACAGGGTGACTTGGAGAGGGTCTGAGTCCGACCCTTGTCAATTAACTACGGGGGTCCCTCAGGGCTCTGTTCTTGGTCCCCTCCTCTTCTCCTTGTACACAAACTCGCTCGGATCAGTCATTAGCCCGCATGGTTTTTCTTACCACTGCTACGCTGACGACACCCAATTAATTCTGTCCTTTCCCCGCTCAGAGACCCAGGTCGTCGCACGCATCTCTGCTTGTCTAGCTGACATCTCTCAGTGGATGTCTGCTCACCACCTCAAGCTCAACCTTGACAAGACTGAGCTGCTCTTCCTCCCGGGAAAAGATTGTCCAACTCTTGACCTGACAATCAACATCGGCACCTCAGTTGTTTCCCCGACTCAGACTGCAAGGAATCTGGGTGTGACCCTAGATAACAACCTGTCCTTCACTGCAAACATCGCTGCTACAACCCGCTGCTGCAGATACACGCTTTACAACATCAGGAAGATACGTCCCCAGCTGACTCAGAAAGCGACTCAGGTTCTGGTCCAGGCTCTCGTCATCTCACGCCTAGACTACTGCAACTCCCTCCTGGCTGGTCTACCTGCATGTGCCATCCGACCTCTGCAGCTCATCCAGAATGCAGCGGCTCGTCTGGTTTTCAACCTTCCTAAATTCTCCCACACCACTCCGCTCCTCCGCTCCCTTCACTGGCTTCCGGTAACTGCTAGAATCCACTTCAAGACACTGGTACTTGCTTACCGTGCTGCAAATGGATCTGGCCCTTCCTACATCCAGGACATGGTTAAACCGTACACCCCAGCGCGTGCACTACGCTCTGCATCAGCCAAACGACTCGTTGCGCCCTCGCTGCGAGGGGGACCCAAGTTCCCATCGGCGAAAACACGTGGGTTTGCTGTCCTGTCTCCAAGATGGTGGAATGAGCTCCCCATTGACATCAGGACAGCAGATAGCTTGCACATCTTCCGGCGCAAACTGAAAACTCATCTCTTTCGACTCCACTTCGAGCAATAGAACTATTAACGAAGCACTTTTATACTAATAAAGGACTGGCTTATCTAAAGCCAGTAGAGTAGCACTTGAAATGTTTGGCTCTATGAAACCTGATATACTTATATGATTCTGTTTTCTTCAAGGTTGTGTCTTCCTGGTCGAATGTACTTATTGTAAGTCGCTTTGGACAAAAGCGTCAGCTAAATGCAATGTAATGTAATGTAATGTAATGAGATGAAGAGAGTTGTGTTGACTCTGAGCTGCAGACATCAGGCTGATATCACTCTGATCCTCACTGAGCATCTTAACCAGGGGCGGACTGGCCATCGGGACGAATCCCGATGGGCCGGTACTGAAGTGGGCCGGTCGGACGATGTGGGCCGGCCGGTAACCGGTATTTTGACAAGCAATTTAGTCTCTGCTCCATGATCCTATCGGCGTATCGGCTCCTTGTCATGTCTGCCGATATCTGGTTTTCTTATGTCTGTTTGTTTTGATCTGTGTCTATGTTGTTGTCAGTGACGTATTGTCTTAAATTTTTACTTAGCCGGCTAAATTCAGGGAAAACTCCGGCTTTCCGGTCCTACGAAGCTGGTTCTCTTTTTAGCGGGCTAGATCTCCATGGTAACTGATGCTTAGCGGCTAACCTGGTCGGGACCAGGTTAGGTTGCAGGCTAAGAGCTCAACTCAGTGAAAGCACTGCCTGCTGACCAATCAGAGCTCAGTGTGCGGAGTTTAAAGCGATCAAGTCATATTACAGGAGAAAGGAAATACAGAAAAGCTGCCGTCGCAAGAAAGACGGCCGGCAAAAATCACCGACTGTGTGAACGTGAACATCAATAGAATATCACCTCCATCTTCAGAGCAATCTGACTATTATAACATTAGCGTTAAGAAAGCTTACTTAAATATATGCCACAACATAAGTAACCGGATCAGAGTAACATTAAGTACAGTCCGCGGCATATCACTTCATAATGTATCATATATTTCCTGATCTGAGTCACCTGAGCCGTATCTGGCCGTGCAACACTCAGTGTCACATACTGTATGCAGAAGTATTATTTTAAGCAACACATTAAGTTGACGAAACACTCGAGACAAATGTAATTAAAGTCAGATGGTGTTTTAGACGGGGCAGTGATATCATAAACCTGTTAATGTACGCATTCAAACACTTTTTCTGTTACCAGCTGTATTCACCTTGCAGGTGCAGCTCTGTGGCTTTGATCCTGGATAAAGTGTTTAAGTCATGGATGTTTAAAGTTGAACTTCTTCATTTTTGACTAATATTATAGTTGACTTTTCATTCAGGAAGTATGACGCTGCGCTGTCAGTACGCTTCTCCATGTTTGTGATTGGTCGAATGCTCCAGATACCACCCCTTTCATGTGAACGCGCACCTAACTAGATAGGACACGGCTGGCTTGAGCGATCCACTTGATAACCAGCGTCGTAGGACAGTTTAGCGAGAGCGTGTATGTTTTGGATTAGGCCAACCGGATAACTCAAACATATCCAGGTTAGGTTGAACCAGCTTCATAGTATAGGCCCCAGGACTCTGAAGCTGACTCAAACAACAAACACTTATTTTAAACCTGATCTAAAACTGTTGGATTGTGTTCATCTCTACAGGATCAATGGAGAGACGATCAGAGCCAAGATCCAGAAGACCTGTGAGTACTGAAACCATGTCCTCCATTCATCCAGACATTGTACATTAAACCTGATCTTCAAAGTTCTTTATAGCACAACAACAATATATTTTAGTTCCATTTTGTTACAGCTCTATTCAATCAATTTGGCTGCCAATGTTTCTCTTTGTTCAAGTTGTATTATTATCTTTCTGTGTCACCTCTTCTCTCCATCAGGTGACTCCGATGTGGAACAGGAAGTGAAGACAGACAGAGAGGTGAGAGAGGAGCAGTTGAACAGAGTGAAGTGTATTGATTTCACTACTGAATTAAAATATAATTGTTAGGGCTGTCCAGTTAAACAATAGAGCGCTCGTAATTCATCTAGAAACCTTAATGAGTCAAAAGAAACAAGTTCGTACATTTTTATTTACCGGAGAAATAGGAGATATTGCTGTCGACTATTGTCTGAGTTTATCTTTCAACTTAAAAACAATTCATAATGAAGGCTCTATAAAGACTGACATCATAAAGACATGTCCATTTATGTATTCAAATTGTTGTTATTGAGAAATGCAAGCCTACATCACCGCTGAGCGATGTCAGGGATGAAGAGCAATTTGCACTGCAGCTGCTGAGCTGCTTACTAACGATGTGAGCAGGTACGAGAGAAGATATCAATCACTATCCCTGAATACAAGTCTGTTCTAAAATACTAACGTTTAGTTTAAACACAGATTATCAATGTGATTAAAGCGATCACATGTTTTAATTGATTGAGACTGCTTGTAGTTGTTGGTAATTGTTTGATGGCATCAAGACAATTCTTTGAGCTCAGATTGATTTATTTACCGTTTATTTAATGTGGGTGTGTTTGAGACGAGGAGCGTGGAGGCATTTCAGAACACCACTAACATGCAGCTGATGAGACACTTTCTAAATCAGCTATCATCAATATTCAATTAACTGACTCAATAGCGTCAAGCTTTTTATTATGAACTTTGTTTATTGAGTGTCAAACACAAATGGACAGGAATGACAGAGCAGTTGGAATTGACAGTGTCACATTACAGTTGTGCAGATCATGACATACGATACATTACAACAACAAAACAAACAGTCGGCTTGGTCATTTAAGGTTTCAAGGGTTCAAGGTTTCAAGGGTTCAAGGGTTTTATTTAGTGCTGTCAAAATTATCGCGTTAACGGCGGTAATTAATTTTTTGAATTAATTGCGTTAAAATATTTAACGCATTTAACGCACGTGCAGAATGGCCCGCCCCATACGTGCCACCAGTGGCAGCGCCAGGGTATGGCTGGGGTAGGCTACACCCATACCAAGAAATGGCTTAGCCCCACCATGAAAAATGATGTTAAAGTAAGCAAAATAAAATCTGCCAACTCGCGCGTAGTAAATTCAAATTGCACATACAGCAGTTAGTAAGATTGATTTCAGTAGCCACGGTTTTGAAAACTTTTGTCACGTAGTGATCGTCTTCTCAATAGAACATTTTTGATAACGGCGTGGTGTTGTTGCAGGAAGTCCAGACGGAGAATACTTTTGCTGTAGTACAGGGGTGCACATAACTGGTACGCAGGTTATGTGCGTAATCTGAAATGCGTACCGTCACTTGTGTCACAAAGCGCATTTGCGTACCGACGTACTTGTGAAGCTTTTCCAGAAGGCGGTTAGATCACCGGACGACAGAGTCGGTCTCCGTGTGCACAGACAGGGCTGCTGTTAACGTCGGTCTGTACAACGGAATTGTGCCAAAACTACGCCAACCGGCTGCGGAGGGAGACTCCCCCCCCTTCACTGGAGAACTGCGCTAAAACAGCTGATCACAACGTTCACACTCTGTGGTCACGAAGTACTCCACTAGCCGCCGCCCCCCCTCTGTCGACTTTCCTGAAGTACTCCCCCGTTGATAGAAATCAACACGTAATGAATTAAGACCCCACGGTTTGATGATTGATAGGTGTGTGGGTTGTCTTTCATTTTGACACGCAGACAAATGTTATAATAAACATAGATACTGTATGTTAAATGGATATATCCGCCTTCTTTCATTTATCTTTCCATTCCCACAACAATATGCATAAATAAATGGCATATTTTAAACATAGTTCGAATGGTGATTAATCATGATTAATGAATTTTTAAGCTGTGATTAATCTGATTAAAAATTGTAATCGTTTGACAGCCCTAGTTTTATTGTCATAATACTGTATGTGCAGCTACAGTGCAGCAGCTACAGTGCAGTTTTGACAATGAAAATCTGAGCTCACAGGCTCCTCCAACAGAGCAACAGATGAACAGATACAATAATACAAGTAAATAAAATAAAATAGAATATAATAGAAACAGAATATGATAGAAACTGTGCAGAATAGTCTAGATACAGTAATTGGAATGTTGGTATTGTGGTGACACGTTATTGGACATAATTCACCTTGCTTATTGTGTTGCCACACGGACCCTTTAGTGGGGAACACCTGTAGCTTTAGCTGCCATTCCTGCTAGCTCATCAGGCAGAGCAGTGCATGTGTTAACCTCTCTGAAAGTAATGGATAATAAAGATTGGAACTCCATTCTTAATACACCGCCTCCGACTCTCTTTTCACGGCACTACACTGGTGACCCTGACTTTTCCGAGAAAGTTTCCGGAAAATTAACGAACATGGCTGAGCGCGATGTTTTCATAAAGCTGCCGGAATTCTGGGAGCACACCGCGGAGGCATGGTTCGCACACGTGGAGGCACATTTCGCCTGCCGACAGGTCCGTGACGGGGACCTAAAATACTACCATGTGGTAGCAGCGCTGGGGAGCTCCACGTCGTCCAGGTTGGTGGGATTCATCGCAGCCCCCCCACATCATGGCAAATATGAGGCGATTAAGGCCCTTCTCCTTAAGACATTTAGCTTATCTGCTAAGGAGAGGGCCCGCCAGATACTTGACATTCAAGGCCTAGGAGACAGCAAGCCATCCCAGCTAATGGAGAAAATGCTAAATCTGCTAGGGGGGGGAAGATCCCCGTATTTTATTCACGGAGATTTTCCTGCGTCACTTGCCTCCCCGGGTACAGACGGCGCTGGCCAACACGCCTGTCACGGAGCCCCGTGCTTTGGCTGAGGAAGCGGATCGTTTTTTCCTGGCTACGCAACAGCCCGGGGCAGAGACGTTAGCCGCGACGCTCAGCGGCCCACCGGCAGTCAAGAAAGCGTGGCGGAGGCCGGACACGGCTGTGGCTAGCCGGCGTGGAGACGCCGGAGAGTGCGTTTACCACGCACGTTTCGGGACAAGGGCGAAGAGATGCATCGCTCCGTGCAGCTACAAACCCCCGGGAAATGGAGGGGCCGGCGCTCAGTAGTGGCTCTGAGCGTCGGCGGCACGTGCAGGCTCCTCTTCGTCAGCGACAGCGTTTCGGGGAGCCTGTTTCTGTGTGACACGGGCGCTCAACGGAGCGTAGTTCCAGCGTCGAGTGAAGACGTCGCCCGTGGGGGGCACGGACCGCGATTGACGGCGGCTAACGGCAGTCCCATTCGCACGTACGGCGTGAGGCCTATGTGTTTGTGCATCGGAGCACAGCGTTTCAGCTGGGATTTTGTGACAGCGGACATTTCTTTTCCCCTCCTCGGAGCGGATTTTTTGTGTGCTCATGGACTCTTAGTGGACGTTAAGAATAGGCGTTTGGTTGATGCCTTAACGTTTTCTTCCCTCGTGTGCACACTTGGCAGCGCAGCGTACGACGGGCTGTCAGGCTCGCTGTCAGGTGCAGACACGTTTCTCAGACTGTTGGCCGAGTTTCCAGACCTGTCGCTACCCACCTTCTCTGCGCTTACCACTAAGCATGGCATGGAACACCACGTCACTACCGGAGGGCCTCCTGTCTACGCCAGGGCCCGGCGGTTGAACCCTTCTAAGCTGGCTGTAGCGAGGGCGGAGTTCGCAACCATGGAGCGCCTGGGCATTGTCCGCCGCTCCGACAGTCCTTGGGCTTCCCCCCTGCACGTCGTTCCCAAATCGAACGGCGGGTTCCGCCCGTGCGGGGATTACCGCCGACTCAACGACGCCACTACGCCTGACCGCTATCCGGTGCCGCACATTCAGGACTTTTCGGCGCATCTGGCCGGTACGGGGGTGTTTTCCAAGGTGGACCTGGTGCGTGGATACCACCAGGTGCCCATGCACCCCCTGGACATTCCCAAGACAGCAGTGATAACGCCTTTTGGACTTTTTGAGTTCCTGCGGATGCCTTTTGGACTCAAGAATGCCGCTCAGACGTTCCAGCGCCTGATGGATTCGGTGCTGCGGGACCTGCCGTTTGTGTTTGTTTACCTCGACGACATACTCGTCGCCAGCGCTTCAGTGCAGGAGCACCTGTCCCACCTCCGAGCCCTTTTCACACGGCTCAACGAACACGGATTAATCATCAATCCTGCAAAGTGCCAGTTCGGGGTGTCGGACATCGATTTCCTGGGGCACCGCGTCACCAAGGGCGGTGCGACACATCTGCCAGCGAAGGTGGAGGCTGTTGCGGCGTTTCCTCGCCCGCTCACAGCCCGGTCGCTCCGTGAGTTTCTGGGGATGGTGACTTTCTACCACCGTTTCATCGCCCGGGCCGCACACATCATGCGGCCGCTGTATGAAGCGTTGAAAGGCAAGACCCCCGTCCAGGAGATCGACTGGACAGCAGAGGCGGATGGCGCTTTTGCTGAGGTCAAGACCGCGTTGGCTCAGGCGGCTTTGCTGGCACACCCATCATCTACGGCTCCCATCTCCATCACCACGGACGCGTCAGACTACGCGGTCGGCGCAGTGCACGAGCAGTGGGTGGAGGGCGCTTGGCAGCCGCTCGCCTTTTTCAGCCGCCAGCTGACGCCTAGAGAACGCAAATACAGCGCCTTTGACCGGGAGCTCCTCGGACTTTATTTGGCCGTGCGGCACTTCCGTTTCATGCTGGAAGGCCGTGAATTTACGGCGTTTGTCGACCACAAGCCGCTCACCTTTGCCATGTCAAAAGTGGCGGAGCCTTGGTCGGCACGTCAGCAGCGGCAGCTGTCCTACATATCGGAGTTCACTACGGACATTAAGCACGTGGCTGGCAAGTCGAACCTGGTTGCTGATTGCCTCTCCAGGGTCGTCATCGGTGCCGTCCAGTTGGGCCTGGACTATACTCGCATGGCGGCAGACCAGGTCACAGATCCCGGCGTCCAGGCCCTGAAGGTGGAGAGCGCGGGGCTGCGCTTGGAGGACGTGGTGTTCGGCGACGCGGGC